GACACAGAATTTGCCAGCACCTTGATCTTGGACCTCTAGTCTGCAGAACAATGAAAAATAAATTTCTCTTGTTTATTTGCTGCTCAGTGGATGGGATTTTTCCAGTAGCCTAAACTAAGACACTGAGCCTTAGTGGGGATAAGCAAATTGCCCAACGAAGATCAAGGTGCAAGTGAACGCTGAGACATGAAAGGGGGCAGGCCCTGCGCGCTACTACACCGACTCAGGCTAGACGGGTGTGAGGGGGCCCCCAGGTCTCCAGAACCCTCTCTAGGAGGCCATGTCACCACAGGCAATCCTTCCGGATACCACAAAAATAAAATAATACTAAGACTCCTTTCCAGCCTGAAGTACTATTTTTCTTATTATGAGGGTTATTACTCTGAACACAACATTCTACCCATACCTTCAAGATTTCAATGTAAATATTTTTGTAAAACACACGTGTGTAAGGAGTTGGAAGTGACAAGTCTTTGAATCTTGCACAGCATCCTGTGTTTTGATTTATTATCTCAGAGTCCACCCAAAATATCCAAGAAGGTTGCCAGTCTCTTGTGCATTACACTTGACTTATGCTACATAGCCACTCTATTGAAATTATAATTCATAACCTGACTTATAACCCTGAATCTGTTAGTACAAATTGCATGCACACACGTGTAGGTATGCACACCACACACACATAGACTGCATTGCATTTTCCCAACTGACCAAGACATAGTCTCAAAAAAATTCAGATTTTTTTCTGAATTCTGTCTGCTAAGAATCAGGAAGTTCTGGACAGGTGGAGAGATGAAAGGTAGAAGAGGAGAAGAAGGGGTGAAAATATTCTTTCCTTAAGGACTGGGGCCAACACACACATAAGCTATTCCAGTCTGGACCAAGGATCCTGATGAAAGACGGTACTGATTCACTCCATCCTCATCCACAAGGGTTTCGAGGGAGATCCACCCAGTGACAAAAGGCGCAAAGGTTCCACTTGAGAAGACCAGGGGGAATCAGTAGGTCTTTGATTGGTACATGGCCTCGGTGTGATGGAAGGGCATATTTGAGTGGTGGCTTCTGAATACAAGGAAACGTTCCAGCAAATAACAGTCAGTCAAACAATTCGAGGGTGGCACCTGGAGAGCAGCAGGGTGAGGTGCTATGTGTGTGGTGTCATGAAAAGTCACAGCATGTGCAGAGCTGGAGGCCACCAGACACCATTCAGGAGGGTGAGGAGTCACCAGGTGCTTATGTTTCAGGAAAGATCCTTTCATGAGGAGAAGCCTAGAGCCAAGCTAAGATCCTGGATTGAACATGCTCTCCTCTGGGTACCAGGAGCATGGTTTCAGAGAACTCACAAATTCTTTGGGCCTTGATGTCTTCATGTGAAATGGGCACATGGTGAAAAGTGGAACTGGGCTAGAGTTGTCTCTGCATTAGCAGAGATCTACAATGTGGTCACCATCTGTGGAAATCAGGAACTCTGAGCCCCAGAGGCTGCTGAAGCATGGGCCTCCATGGTTAAGAGAGTGACATCTGCTATGGTTTCAATCTGGTTTGTTCCCCCAGATTCATGCAGGAGTTCAATCACTGAAGGCATGTAACACTGTTAAGAGGGTACAGACATAATCTGCTTATGGTGTTCAGAACTGGGCCTCTGGGAAGTTACTAAGCTTAGATAAGGTCATTAGGGTGGAATCCTCCATGATTGAATACTGGAAACTTTACTAGAAGGAGGAGAGAGACCAATGATACAGACACAGACAGCCATGCTCCCTGTGTCCTGCTTGTGACTCCACGTACTGTCTAGTGATTGCTAGCAAGAAAGATACCAACAGAACTGAACGAGTACCAGCACCTTGCTCTTGCTAAATAAGCCTCTTTTCTTTATAAAGTTAGTCTGCCTCAGGTAATTCATTATGGTCCTGAAAAGTTAACTAATACAACATCTCATTAAAAAAAAATGGTGACAGAGAAGATGCTGATTAAGGGACTTGGGCATGGGATAATTCCTGGTGCAGACCGACAGACAGTTGTACAATCTGTTGGCAGGAACTGTTAGAAAGGAACTTGACAGTCTGGGCCTTTTTCCTCTGCTACCTTTAGCCCTGGTGCAATTTCCCACCGGATGGCAGAAAGCTATGTCAAAATATCAGCTCCCCTTTTGCCCCCTGGGTG